GGGAAAGAGAATCAAATAGGACACATCCAGCCCTCAAGAAGCATGTCAAGACTCAGGTGAATCCAATCTCTAACCCAGGCTTCCTGCCTCCGGCTTACGAATAGCATTTTCTCTTCAGTCCCATAACCCCAACTCTGACCCAAGAATCCACATCTCAGGTCTAACCTAAGAATTAAGTATTTGCCCCGAAGTCACCAGTCAACTCTGTCTCCAGACTCCCCAGTCTCTAGACACTATTTCACCAGGGCACACACTGCAATATGGAATTCACCAATCCCAGGAGAGCCCGGCAAGCTAAATCACAGACACCAGGGATATTAGAGACATAGATGAATGCACTTGGGGCATTTTACTTTTAGGCTTTTTTCCACATTGAACTAGAGCTACATGCCTCATACATGAGCCACTCCACACCACTCCACACCGTATCATCACAGACTCAAAGACTGCAGGGCTTGGGCCACATCATAGGGATCCTACTGTACTTGATTTTTGTACATGTCTCTCCCACAGAAGTCATCTCTTATCCAACTTAAACAGCCTGGTTCCCTCTGTGCAAGTTGAGGCAAGGTTCTCACTGACTTTATGTGTAACTTTGTTGCAGTACTGCTATACTTAATCACATCTTCAAGGAAGTATATTCAACAATTATCTATCCTACTAGATCCATTCAGAAAAATTTCCCAAGCAAATTTTGTTTGGTACTGTCCTAGTTTCTAAAGATACCAAGATCTGGTCCTGCCCTCTTGCAGTGCTGTCTACTGAGGAAAAGAAATAGCAACTAGCACTTACTGCAAGATTACTATGTGACAGACCCTGTTCTAAATGTTCCAAATGTAGTGACTCATTTAGTCCCCAAGACAGGTAGGTATTATTATCAACCCCATTAGAAAACTGAGGCTCTGAAAGGTTAAGAAACCCTCCCAGGATCACACAGAAGGATGTGATGCTTGCAAAAAGACAAAGCAAACTATAACAAGTGGATGAAAGAGTTGTCATGGGACCAATGGGGGTGCAACTACTTTTTACAGGATGAACAGGCAAAAATTCCAGAAGAGCTTCTGGACTGGTTTTTGAAGGAAGGTCAGAAAGATGCCAAGCAGTAGGAGGATATTCCAAGAAGGCATAAGATGTAAAACGACACAGAGCATGAAAAAATATGGTGTTCTCGGGAAACTGACAAATTCAGTGCACTATGAACACCAACTCCACTAAAACCTCGTTTCTATTTTACTCATTCTCTACTGTTCTCTGGCTCACCAATGGCATGATCCACTACATTTCTGGAAGCAAAGAGACTACTGTAGGCCTATCTGGCTTCTATCCAAGCTGAAGCGGAATGAAAGGAAGACACAGGCCTTGGGATCTGACGGGAGGGCGGACAAGTTATGCCTTGATCACAGATGACCGCAGGGATGCGGGCATAAACGGGCACTTTGAACCTGGCACTCAAACTGCTTCCCGTCTGCAAGGAAGTCAAGAAAAAAACAAAGTTGTCGCCACAGCACTTCATTTTTGAATATCAGAGAGAGGCACGATGCCTGGGCTGAGGAACGGGGGTGCCCCAAAGACCGACTCTAGCGGTTATCCTAGCTCTCCCACCACAGTGAGTTCCACCAGGGCAGAGGGCGCGTCCTCAATTCAACAAATGTTCAGAGGGCCTAACGAGTGCCCGGCAGGTAATCAAGTGGTTAAATCACAGTCCCCGTCCTTGAGGTGCTCAGATAACGTAGGACCGAGCACAAGGTAAAGGCCCCGAGGGTCGGCCCCGCACCGCCCCCCACGCAGACCCCGCAAGCAACCTCCCCGCCTCCCCGACCTCCGCGCGCCTGCGCACCAGCAGCCAGAGGGGCGGAGGGCAGCGGACGGCGGGAAAGGAGACTTACCTCAGTATTCCTCCACACGCCCCCCTTGATCATAATTCGAGGCATCTTGGCGGCGGGGTTTCTCGGCAAGCGGCCGAGTGGAGCTTCTGAGAAGTAGTAACGGAGCTGCGGCCACGGAACCCAAAGCCGTCACTTCCTCCAAGTGCAACCTTCTGCTTTGAAGAGCTCTGCGCAGGCGCAAGGCGGGGTTTGGGGTTGGGGGGGGAAAGGATGAGTAGCAAGTCTCGCGAGAACTCGAGTGACTGAAAGGAAATAAGTGCTTTGTTGTTAAAGCTCTACTCTAGGAAGACTGACAGAAAGTCATCAAACCACTCTAAGCCAAAGCGCTCTACGCCGCACGCATGCCCAAAATAGATTGGAAGAAGCCATGGCTCTCGCGAGATATCGGCGGTGGCGCTTGTCAGAGAATGTAGTGCTGGGGTTGGTTGTGACGTCACCTGGTGGCAGAGCATAGGAACGTGGCGCGTGCAGAGTTTAAGCCCAGCTTGTCTAAAAAGAACTTTGTTAATTTATTAATTTAGCACTTTATTAGGCATTTAACTGATAGGAATTTATTCACAGAATACTCAGGAAAACGCAATAGCTTATTTAAGCCTAAATTTCCTAACCTGGAGGTAATAATAGTACCAATTTCGTAGGGTCGTCTTAAGGATTAAATGAGATCGTAAACCTAGCATAGTATCTGATACATAATAAGTGATCACAAAAGTGGCAACTGTTACTACAAGAAGCGCAACCCCAAGTGATCAGTGGTTGTCCCAGAAATCCAAGAAATGTCATGTCAGAGTTTTTCATTCATTGCTATTCAGTCTGTGTGGATTAATAGTAGAGAGTTACCATCGATAGGTACTGGTATTAGACAGACTCGGTCTGGGTTGAAATCTTGGCTCTCTCATCAGCTTGGGTAATAACCTTGCTGAATCTCAGCATCCTCATCTGAAAAGTGGAGTTAACAATTCATACCTCATAAATTTGAGGGACAAATTAGTTGAAAGATACCTAAAACCCAGTGAGGTAGGGATTGCCAAACTGCCATTCCACCTCCCCATTACTCACTTGGTCTCCTTCACCATTCAAAAACATCTCTTTGGAGCCAGCCCTGGAAGGCATGAAAATGTTTAGTGGACTGGGAAACACCCTAAGAATTTAAATAATGCCTTTCTCTTTATAGTTCTTCATTTCTCCATTTGCCTCTTCTGAGAGAGCTACAGAACTTTCTGGTAATATATATATATATATATATATATATACTGTTTTTCCTTGAAATGGGAAATTGTAGCAATAAAATCACTAGTTTGTTTAGAGGACAGTGTTAGATTATGAAGAACACACAGATGTGTGTGTTCTGGTGACAAGCCATTTTCTGTCTCTGGACGGAGGTCCAGAGATAATGCTTCTCTGTAGAATGTGTGACCATTACTTCCTGCCAACCCCACCCCCAACATGCACTCAGCTACAGTGGTTACAAGTGTGTGTGTGTGTCTCTCTCTCTCACACTCCACACACACACACACACACACACTGGCCATTTGATTGATCTGATCAAAGTTGAACCAATTAAGTCTCCTCCCCAGGAATTTTGACAACCTAGAAGAAGCCAGTCACTCTGCTGGCCAATGAATCTCTAACATGTGACACCCAGGAGTTGCCTGCCACCATGTTTTGTACAACGTAGACTAACAAGGGAAGAAAGCAGGTCCCAGGTGCATTGAGAGGAGCAGAGAGGAGAGTACAGAAAGGCAGAGGTAGGTCTTGGCTGCACCACTGTCCCTGGAGCCAATATGTTCCTCTGTCCTTGAGTTTTTGTTGTTTTTTTAATATTATTTTACAATCTACTGTTTTCTTAATTTTTAAAATTTATTTATTTATTTTTGGCTGCATTGGGTCTTTGTTGCTGCGTGCAGGCTTTCTCTAGTTACGAGTGGGGGCTACTTTTTTTGTTTTTTTTTGGCTGTGTTGGGTCTTCATTGCTGCGCATGGGCTTTCTCTCGTTGCGGGGAGCAGGGGCTACTCTTCATCACGGTGCGCAGGCTTCTCATTGCGGTGGCTTCTCTCATTGCAGAGCATGGGCTCTAGAGCGCAGGCTCAGTAGTTGTGGCGCACGGGCTTAGTTGCTCTGTGGCATGTGGGATCTTCCTGGACCAGGGCTCGAACCTGTGTCCCCTGCATTGGCAGGAGGATTCTTAACCACTGTACCACCAGGGAAGCCCCCTGTCCTCGAGTTCCAATGATTAGTTCCCCTTTTGGCTTCAGTCAGTTGGAATTGGGTATCTGTTATTTGTAAGCCAGATTCCTAACACGTCCAGAGTTGAACCGGTCCTCTCTCAAGAGCCATTTCAGATCTAACATTCCAAGAGCCCATGATGATGGCTTCTCCCTCCCACTCAGCACCACCTTTTCACCCCCTCCATGTCACCTTTTCACCAAACAGAAAAAGTGCCCCTTCCTCAAGACACTTTATTGACACCTGCTGGAAAACTGTCACAAAATACTGATGTTTTGAGAACAAGACACTAGAAAATTACATCTCCCATGCCTATGATACAAATTGTACCCACTTAGGGGCATGCGTTTTACAACCTGCTCATTAGGACAGAGCAGCCCTGTCAAAAATCCCCCAAGGCACCCTTGAACACGCAAGACTGCATGTCTAATCGAAATTCTAGTTTCCATCTTGTCCAGTTTTTTACCATCAAGAAACTGTGCAGGGGACTTCCCTGGTGGTCCAGTGGTTAAGAATCTGCCTTCCAATGCAGGGAATGCGGGTTCGATCCCTAGTCGGGGAACTAAGATCCCACATGCCATGGGGCAACTAAGCCCACGCACTGCAACTACTGAGCCCGCGCACTCTAAAGCCCGTGTGCCACAACTAGAGAGAAGCCCTTGTGCTGCAACTAAGACCTGACATGGCCAAATAAATAAATAAATAAAAAGAAACTGTGCAAGAAAGGGCTAAAATTAGGGTCAAAAGCCTGTGACAACACCAAGGGATGGAGAGGAGCTGGGGCTAGCTACCCTCATCATCTTCATCATCTCCCCAAATAAGGATATGGAATTTAAGTAGAAATATTGCACTGCTTTGCAAATACAATTTCAAGACAGGTCCTCCAGCCCTGCCCACATCCACCAGATTGCCACCCGTAAGGCCCTCTCCCATTTAGAAACTCCTCAGCTAGTGTTGGGAAAAACTAATATCTGGGTGTCCAGTTACTACAAAATGGAATTCCATGCACCCTAAATGCTGGTAATTCATACCGTAATGCTAACCATGGTTAATCATCTAAATTGGCTTGAGTCTCACCTACTGATACTCCCTTGTGGTGAGTCCAGTTGTAGCTTGTAATTTGTTTCTCAGGTACTCATCTTCATGGTTGTTATTTCTGGGGAGTCCCCTGTGCCCTGGGGTGGGGAAGTGTTCCCAAAGAGACTATGCTTATTCTCAGGCCTCAGAGATTCAAGAGTCTTTGTGAGCTCATTTCTCAGTTTAGGATCAATATTCCAATCAAGTCATTTACAACTAACCCTGCATACACAGGGCACAGGCTTGGGATTTACATTTCTCACAGGAGACTTTTTCCACACACTCATATACAGACCCCAGACTCATAAGCCCAGTTGCATACTGGACAGTTCCGCTTGGGTGTGTCACAGGTTTCTCAAATTCATCTTCCAAAAATTGAGCCCTGAGGAATGCCCTGGCTGTCCAGTGGTTAGGACTCCACGCTTTCACTGCCCAGGGCCCGGGTTCAATCCCTGGTTGGGGAACTAAGATTCCACAAGCCTCGCAGTGCTGCCAAAAAAAAAAAAAAAAAAGAGCTCCCCCTAGAAAACCTATACTTCTCCAGCATTCCTTACTTCAAGGGATAGCACAGGACTGGCGTGTATGGTTGTGTAAAGGGTTCATTGCATGAGTGAAAAGTGGGGGCTGAAATCTAGCTTGCACACTGCTCACCAGGCAATGCGTCCACGGGACTGTGTCCACCAAGAAAGCATCTTTCTCTAGGTGTATGAAGCCACCACATGGGCTAGACACTGTTGCCCTGGCAACAGCACAACCATCCACCTATTGCCACTTTTCCTTCCCCCATACCTTCCTCCCACCCACATCCAAGTCATTCCAGAGTCTTGCCAATTTTATCTCCTAGGTAGCCCTCCAATCCATCTCCTTTGTCCACCTCTGCTGTAAGTTTCCAGATCTAGCAAATTAAAATACCAGTTAAATCCCAGTTAAAGTTGAATTTCAAATAAACAGCAAGTGAATTTTAGTATAATTGTGACTTATGCATTCCTTCTGTCCTCCCTTTCCTAGAGAACCCTGGTATTTCCTCCAGCCCACACTGCGCTCAGCCAATAGAACACATTTCTAGCCAGATGATCACTCCCATGCTCACACCATCACCACTGGAAGGTGCCCTCACACCCTCTCCGTACTTGGTAGAAACATACACATTTCCTCGGAAAACAAGCCATTGGGATTTTTGACTTCTTTTTTGATATGAGGCAGGTTCCCTCCATGTGCACCAAGAAATGTTTAATTTGCATGTATTTCTTACAAAGTCCAGGTTTGGGAGCCTCAGTGTTGACTCTTCAAGTCAGTAGTGGCCGCCCCATCCCCCAGGGAGGCTCAGGCCACAACCCCTCCTGGAGTTCCCCAGTGCTGGAAGGACAGAAGGCATCTCAAATGGGCTCCCAGTCCTTCCCCAGGGTCCACTGGGAACTTGGCCAGTAGATGTGCTAAATCAGGGTCAGAGCTCCTTACTGCAAGGGATGGGGGCTGTTCAGTGCATTTCAGGCCCAGATGGGAAGAAAAGTCACAGGGCATAAAGATGTGAGAGGGGCCAAGGCAGGGGGCAATGTGTGGCCAAACCAGCCAAAGGCTGGTCAAGGGAGAGGGAATGAGTCCAAAGACGCCGTGGAGGCGGCAGCCCTGGTCTCATCAGGGGCTGGGCAGGACCAAGTGGTGCCCTGCACTCAGATGGGCACTCCTAGATGTCCCAGATGTCAGCCCCGCACAGCTATCAGGTTCTCAGTGAACCACAAGATTACCCTTGACCTTAGGAGAGACCTACTGAAATATATAGGTATGTAGGAGTAAAGGGTTATGATGTCTGCCACTCACTCTCAAGTAATTGAGAAGGGACTTCCCTGGTGGCGCAGTGGTAAAGAATCCGCCTGCCAATGCAGGGGACACGGGTCTGAGCCCTGGTCTGGGAAGATCCCACATGCCGCAGAGCAACTAAGCCCGTGCGCCACAACTACTGAGGCTGCACTCTAGAGCCCATGAGCCACAACTACTGAGCCCGCGTGCCACAACTACTGAAGCCCGCGCGCCTAGAGCCCGTGTTCCGCAACAAGAGAAGCCGCTGCAATGAGAAGCCCGCGCACCGCAACGAGGAGTAGCCCCTGCTCGCCACAACTAGAGAAAGCCCATGCACAGCAACAAAGACCCAACGCAGCCAAAAATAAATAAATAAATGTATTTATCAAAAATGATAGTAATAATTGAGCAAAATAATAATAGTAATAATATGAGAAAAAGAGAATGTGTACAACTCTGGACAAATGTTAATTGTAGACTCTAGGTGAAGACTATGTAGGTGTCTGTTTGTTGTACGATTCTCGCAACTTTTCTATCAGTTTGAAAGTTTTCAAAATATAAACTTAGGGGAATTCCCTGGCGGTCCAGTGGTTAGGACTCTGCACTTTCACTGTGGAGGGCCCGGGTTCAATCCCTGGCCGGGGAACTAAGATCCCACAAGCCGTGCAGCGCGGCCAAAACAAAAAAGTTAAAAGAGGCAAAACACAGTGATTCTGCATCCAAGTCGAACATTTGATTTAGAACAGTCGCACTAACAGAAGCAATTAACAGGAAAAGGCTCTCCAGAGGACAGTCAGTTCCTGCTTCCTGGATCTGTTCCTGTTCAAGATTGTCTTGGAAAGTCCAAAGAACCTGTGGATAGAGGCACGGAGTTAAAGGCTGTGCTCCATTACAAGACTAACAGTTCTCAACCACACACGGTGACACACGGCCATGACATCTGCCCAAGGGCCATCTCGGGGCAAAGGGCACCATCCACTCTGGGAGAGGCTCTGTGCCTCTCTCGTCTCCATTGCGAAGCCTCTCAAAAGCCTGCTCTTCTGGGCTTGCCTCCAGTTTTTATGCTACCTTTTTTTTTTTTTTTTTTTTTTTGGGGTCGGCGGGCCTCTCACTGTTGTGGCCTCTCCCGTTGCGGAGCACAGGCTCCGGACGCACAGGCTCAGCGGCCATGGCTCACGGGCCCAGCCGCTCCGTGGCATGTGGGATCCTCCCGGACCGGGGGCACGAACCCGTGTCCCCTGCATCGGCAGGCGGACTCTCAACCACTGCGCCACCAGGGAAACCCTATGCTACTTTTTGAAGGTTCTTTGACCCACCAACAGGTAGCAAACTCTGTAGCAAGGGGACCGCTGGCTGCCAACTGTCAAGCTCTTCAACTTCTCTTATCTCGTTCTTCAGCTTGTTGGCCTTCTCCTTCACCCAGAAAGGCAAGCTGTGGGAAGAAAACAATACCCTGAGTTGAGTTTGTCTGATGCAAAATTTACAAACACCTTCAGCAGACAAGGCACTACATCCTCCAAAAGTAAGAAGGCCTCCCATGCTGCACACAAAGTATCAAAATCAAACACCGTGTTAGTCTTCACCATTTGCCCCTGCCCCAAACCCTGATCTCTTTTGTGTCCCTCTCTAGCCAAGAAGTTGACCCCAGTAGCCTGCATCACCTTGACTCCTCCCTGCCCCCACCTTTGAGCTGGGCTTGGCTAACGGGAGGCACCAACAGGAGATCAGAAGGTGGAAAGACAGAGGTTGGAGTATGTCTTATTGAGCTCCTCGGCTCCCGCCCTATCTCCTGAGGTACCCCAGTTCTGGAGCCGCTGTATCCTCCGCTGCCGCAGGTCCTTTCAGACAGCCCTTCTCCATCTCCTGCTGCTCTGTGAACCATGGGCCCTCTTCCTGCTGTTCAGATCTAGGAGTAGTAAGAGCTTCCCACTGGTGGGAGCCCCTGGGTGCTCTGCCCTCCCATGTGAGTTTCCTCAACCTGCCCACACACTGGTAAACAGCCCTTTCATTAAACTGTCTTCAGAATCCCACCTGAGTGTGCCTTCTACTTTCTGCTGGGACCTCAGCTAATACAGACACCCATTGTCCTCCCAGGTCTGTTGAGATTTGAAAGGGCATATGCTGGGCTGCAGTGTGTGGGTTCCGAGAGGTACCAGGAAGTGAGGTTCCTGGGATGAGTCAGAGCAGGACGACGAAGAATGTTTTCATCTTTTGGCAGCTAAAATGTTCATGTTTTTAGGGAGAAGTGCATCATGATTGAGAAAATACCCTGATAAACCTGCTGGAGTATTACCACACATAGCAATAGGTGGGAGTAATCGTTACCATTTAAAGCTGACAACCCAATAGTAGAAGCCCAAGTAAGAAAAGCAGGACGACAGACTTCCCTGGCGGTCTAGTGATTAAGACTCTGTGCTTGGGGCTTCCCTGGTGGCGTAGTGGTTAAGAATCCGCCTGCCAATGCAGGGGACATGGGTTCGAACCCTGGTCCGGGAGGACCCCACATGCCACGGAGCATCCAAGCTCATGTGCCACAACTGCTGAGCTGGCACTCTGGAGCCCGCGAGCCACAACTACTGAAGCCCGCGCGCCTAGAGCCCATGCTCCGCAACAAGAGAGGCCACCGCAATGAGAAGCCCGCACATTGCAACGAGGAGTAGTCCCCGCTCACCGCAACTAGAGAAAAGTCCATGCACAGCGACAAAGACTCAACACAGCCAAAAATAAATAAATAAAATTAAAATTAAAATTAAAAAAATAATAATAATAAAGTATTAAAAAAAAAAAGAGACTCTGTGCTTTTACTGAAGGGGGCACAGGTTCAATCCCTGGTCAGGGAACTAAGGATCCCGCATACTGTGAGGCAGTGGCCAAAAAGAAAAAAAAGAAAAGCAGGACGAACAGCAATATAGAAAGATATTAGCATAAAGAACCAGCGGGATAAGAACACAAGCATTCCTAAACATCAGAAGAAATAATTTTTTAACTTTTGTTGAAATAATCAAAACAGTGAAAGACTCAGGGTAAATATAATACACATAATACATATAACATAAACTATTATGATAGAATTGAAATCAAATCTGTCAAATCAATAAATGCAAATGGCCCTAATTCACCTCTTAAAGAAAAAAAATTTTCAAATTGGCTCACAATGCAAAATCCAATTCTTTGTCTAAGAGAAAGACCTAAAACAAAGTGATTCTAAAGTCTAAGAATGGGCAAAGAAATATTAGTCAAATGCAAACAAAACAAAGTAAGAGTTGTAATCTTAATATCTGGCTAGTATAACATAGGACAAATGCATTAAATGAGAAAAAGAAAGATTTTTTTTTTTTTTTTCTTGCGTTATGCGGGCCTCTCACTGTTGTGGCCTCTCCCATTTGCGGAGCACAGGCTCCGGACGCGCAGGCTCAGTGGCCACGGCTCACGGGCCCAGCCGCTCCGCGGCATGTGGGATCTTCCCGAAACGGGGCACGAACCCGCGTCTCCTGCATCGGCAGGCGGACTCTCAAGCACTGCGCCACCAGGGAAGCCCAGAAAGATATTTTTATAATGCTAATGGCTACAATTAACAATAAAGATAGGGCTTCCCTGGTGGCACAGTGTTTGGGAGTCCGCTTGCCAATGCAGGGGACACAGGTTCGAGCCCTGTTCTGGGAAGATCCAACATGCCGCGGAGCAGCTAAGCCGGTGCACCACAACTAGTGAGTCTGCGCTCTCGAGCCCGTGAGCCACAACTACTGAAGCCCACGTGCCTAGAGCCCGTGCTCCGCAACAAGAAGCCTGCGCACTGCAACAAAGATTAGCCCCCGCTCTCTGCAACTAGAGAAAGCCCACATGCATCAGCGAAGACCCAGCGCAGCCAAAAATAAATAAATAAATTTATTTATTTATTTTAAAAAAAAGAAATCTATTAAAAAAAACAATAAAGATAGAAACACACTAATATTGGGACATTATAACACAACAACTCTTGGTCCAAGTGGACGAAATGAGTGGACAAAAATGAGTAAGAAAATATAGGGACTAAACAGAATAATCAATAAGATAAATCTTCTGGGTATGTATCTAACTTCGCATCCTGATGAAATAGAATGTACTTTCAAATGCATGTGGAGAGAGTCCCAAAATCGAACATATATTAGATCACAGGGAAAATTTTGATAAGTTCCATAAAGTAAAAATAATAAAAACAATATTTTCTGATCACAAGGTGATAAAAGTAAAAATGAATTACAAAATAAAAACCAAAAAGCTCTCCTACCTGGAAATTCAAAATCTCTCTATTAAGGAATTCTTCAGTCAAAAGGAAAGTACCAATGCGAACTGCAGAATTCTTCAAAAAATAAGGATAACCTGCATATCAAAATGTATAAGGTTCAGAATGGAGCTGAGCTAACATATAAGATCAGAGCGATGACACTTCCCTCAAATACAGAAATACTCCAATAGCTTGCTCTCTACCTCTTCAAACTCTAACCGTCCTCCCTGGCTGCACTCATTTAAGCATATGCCTTTCTTTTCTTCTTTTTTTTTTTAATAAATTTATTTATTTATTTTTGGCTGCATTAGGTCTTCATTGCTGTGCGCGGGCTTTCTCTAGTTGTGGTGAGAAGGGACTACTCTTCGTCGCAGTGCACGGGCTTCTCATTGCGGTGGCTTCTCTTGTTGTAGAGCACGGCCTCTAGGTGCGTGGACTTCAGTAGTTGTGGCTCTCGGGCTCTAGAGCGCAGGCTCAGTAGTTGTGGCACATGGGCTTAGTTGCTCTGTGGCATGTAGGATCTTCCTGGACCAGAGCTCGAACCTGTGTCCCCTGCATGGGCAGGCAGACTCTCAACCACTGCCCCACCAGGGAAAGCCCTGTCTTTTCTAACAGACTCTTATGTTTTGGAAAGCAGGAACCCTGACTTTTTGCTCCACATCAAACCCCTCACAGTGCACACCTAGGACTACACATGGCATCTGGTATTTGTCAATCATACCTGCTGAAGATGTGAGCAGCCCAGCTGCCAGACTCCATAGACACTTGACCTTCAAAACCAAAAACCCTCCATTCAAACTGCCTCACCCACCTGCTGGGATTCAAAAGGTCCCTATGTGTTAGGTGTCTATGAGCTCCTCCATAGGAGAAAATAAACAATTGATATTTTCATAAAGATAGGATAATATGAAACATGCTGAGAGAACTCACTTGGGAATTTGTGGAAGAGGCTCAAGCGGAATAAATGTATCAAATTTCTTTTCATAAGGCATTCTGAAAAACAGAAAAGGCAACCATAAGATTGGTATGGTTTCTATGGCAAAGAGATCAATACATCATTGTGTTCAATAAAATGTCTTATTTTCTGGTTTTAATTGTTGCATATGGGCTTCAAAACTGTTAAGGGCCATAATTCTTATTATTTTTTTACCATTTTTAGTAAACATCATTAAAACAAACATGATTAATTTTTATTGAGGTATAGTTGATTTACAATATGTTTAAGGTGTATACATAGTGATTCACAATTTTTAAGGGTTATACTCCATTTATAGTTCTTACTAAATGTCAGTTATATTCCCTGTACTGTACAATATGTCCTTGTAGCTTATTTATTTTATACATAGTAGTTTGTACCTCTTAATCCCCACCTCTGTCTTGACCCTCCCCCTCCCACTAGTAACTACTAGTTTTTTCTCTATATCTGTGAGTCTGTTTCTGTTTTGTTATATTTACTAGTTTGTTTTACTTTTTAGATTCCACATATAAGTGATATCATACAGTATTTGTCTTTCTCTGTCTGACTTATTTCACTAAGCATAACACCCTCCAAGTTCATCCATGTTGTTGCAAATGGCAAAAATTTTGTTCTTTTTTACAGCTGAGTAATATTCCATTGTATATATACACCACATCTTCTTTATCCATTCATCTGCTGATGGACACTTAGGTTGCTTCCATATCTTGGCTACTGTAAATAATGCTGCTATGAAGATTGGGGTGCACGTATCTTTTCAAATTAGTGGTTTTGTTTTCTTTGGAACATGATTGATTTTTTAAAATATTTTTAATGTACTATACCAACTGTTTTCTCTTTTAATTTAATGACCCTCCATTTCTCCTCAATGCTTAGTTGCAAGTACAAGTCAATCCAAATAGTAGACACTAACCAACAATCTGATTCAGTATGAAAATTGAAGTCTTCATATTTGTTGATAATAACAGGAACAAAATTAACAACCACCTTTTTGTAGTCAAGATCCTGTGTATGATTTCAATTACCCACATGTACATGTGCATACACTAAGGAACTAGGTACAGATTTTTTTTGAAATTCTCACCAAATATGTCTTGTTGAGATTCACCCCTTGTAAAATATAATTTATATGTAGTAGAAAGAAATACAATTCCTTTAAAGTTAACTAAATAACCCTAGTATTAACATACACTTACATTGAAAAATTCCCTGGTGGGAGAGTTGATCCTACTTTGTGGAAGCCTTTACTCTGTTCCGGATACATATATGAATTATCTCCTGGAGTTACCTTTGGGATTCCATTCCTGGGATCAATAACTGTGAATAGTGTTTGAAAACAAAATCATAAAAAGGGCTGAAGATGATCCACAGATTTGCTGTAAGAATTGACATGACAATGGAAACAGGATAATTTAGTGTTTTATTATGAGGTACATATAGGTATCTTAATGTTCTGTCTGTGATTGTCTCACCCTGAGGAGATGAAAAGTGTGAGGCTAAAATAAAATTAAATAAAAATTAAAAATAAATTTTAATAAAACAGATTTAAAAAAACAAATAAAGTGCGAGCCTATGTTTGAGATGTTTTTTAAAAGGTGTTGTTGGGCTTCCCTGGTGGCGCAGTGGTTGAGAATCTGCCTGCCAATGCAGGGGACACGGGTTCGAGCCCTGGTCTGGGAGGATCCCACATGCCGCGGAGCAACTAGGCCCGTGAGCTACAACTACTGAGCCTGTGCGTCTGGAGCCTGTGCTCCGCAACAAGAGAGGCCATGATAGTGAGAGGCCCGTGCACCGCGATGAAGAGTGGCCCCCACTTGCCACAACTAGAGAAAGCCCTCGCACAGAAACAAAGACCCAACACAGCAAAAATAAATTAATTAATTAATAAAAGGTGTTGTTATGATTACCTCACCCTGGGAAAGAAGAATAGCTTAGGTTTGGATGGGATGTTTTGGTTTAAAATGAATGGTGAATCAAAAGTATCTGAAATGATTAGCATGCACTCTGTCTTGAAATCTTTTCATTCCTGAACATTAGTGCACTTTGAATCCCTGAATCCCTCCGGGATTAGCAGCTCTAATTGGGGCTCTGCCTCTCCGACTGGGTCTCAGGAGGAAATCAACTAATAAGGGCTCTGCTACTCCTTCTGACTCAAAGACTAGGGTAGTGTAGCAGTAGGAGGTGGCCTTCCTGGTGCAGAGGAGTCACGAAAAAGTCTACTGATGCTGAGCAAACACTGCTTCCTCAGCCCATGCTCTGACACCCAACCCAGCCACTTCCAACGCCCCAGGAATAAGTAGCTAACCACATGGAGTCAGCCTGGTAAAGGATGGTCGTTTAAACCTGCACCTCTTACACCAGATGCGTCTCCTAAGGGAATAATCCTGGACTGCAAGACTAACCACCTTGGGATCAGAAGCAAGGATGCATGGCTGGAAGCACAACCTCCTTCTTGGCTCACACACCCAATGAACAGGACCCTCTTTTTAATTTTTAAATGCTTGTTTTGATATTGCTCCATTCACCTGTACCCACAAGATACAAGCCAAAGGGAGAGCTGGGGAAGATTTTTAATAAGCTGTTTTCTACCTGCCCAAATTTCTCTAGCTAACTCAGAAAAGCCATCTGCACAATTGGTGGAAGTACCTGAGTTACTGGAGTATTTGATTTTTTAATTTTCTATTTTTTTACTCTTTCAAAACCCTTTTCAATAGCTAAGACTCTTCAGCTAAACTTTTTATTAGCTCTTAAGTGCAGGAAAATAACATCAACTACATCTGTACATTGAGTGCTTCCTGAGGATGAAATGCTGAGGATTCAAAGCAAGGAGAGCAGAGTGACCCTATCTTTTGAAACCCAAACCAGGGTACGGACAAGTAAAGGTCAGGTGACAACAAGAAGTGGTGAGAAGGGCTTGAAATGTGAAATCAGTCACACCTGAGTCCAAATTCAGTTCTGCAATTTCTAGTTCTGTGCCCTTGAGCAGTTTAACTTCCCTAAGCCTTAGAATCCTCATTTATAAACTGTTTATTTCAAATGTCTACTTTGCATAGCTATCATGAGTACTGAATGAGAACAATCTGGATACATAATCAGCACTCAAGAAATGGTAGCACCCTGTTTGGGGAAAGTATCCTAGGAACTTGTTTGGAAAACCGGAGCTTTTTGAAGAATGCACTAACCGTTCTGTCTCTAGACTGCTCTTCTAATCTACAGATCCTGGACTTGAGCTGCAACATTTCCAGCATCAGCCAAACCTTCAGACTGGTCCCCACAATCCGAATTAGCAAGAGCCAATTCCTTAATATCTACCCAGTGGCTACTGTTTGTCCTGAATTCAGTGGTTTTTGTATATTGACAGACTCCTTGGTTTGTCTCAAGTCTGAAGTCAAGGGGAGATTCTGTCAGCAACCAAGGACCTCTCTGTTCAGTCCTGAACAGGTTTTTCCTTCAATTGCATGGCTTATCCCTATACTTGTGCTACTAAATGTATAAAGGTATAATCTAAGTTGTTTAATATATATTGTGCAATGTTTAGTATGTTGCACCCTTAAAGCTATCTGTCCATTTATCTTTATTTCAAAAATCTGAACATAGGGCCAGCATATACTTCTGTTCCATGTTTAATGGTGAAATTTAAACGTCAATAAATAAAAATAGTATACCCATGTAATGCTTAAAAAAAAGAAATGGGGACTTCCCTGGCAGTCCAGTGGTTAGTTAAGACTCTGCGTTTCCACTGCAGGGCGCTCGGGTTCGATCCCTGGTCAGGTAACTAAGATCCCACATGCCACACGGCGTGGCCAAAAAAAAAAAAAAAGAAATGGTAGCAGTTGTTATTATTATTTGAAATCGGGACTAGGCTAATACCACCTGCATCCCAATTTTTTTTTTTAATCTGGAAAATTCAAGGTTAGAGAATAGGGAATCTTACCTAGTTGGGGAGACAAGACAATTAAAACAGTAAAGGGAAGGAAGGAAGGAAGGGAGGGAGGGAGGGAGGGAGGGAGGGAGGGAGGGAGGAAGGAAAAGGAATAATAAACACAAAATTCAGGACAATGTTTACTTTCAAGTTAGGAGGGAAGTGATGGGTTAGGGTTAGGATTTGGATCATCATGATAATCTCATTTACTTTTGATACATACTTGCAGTTGGCCCAGTTCTGGCCAGTGAGACACGAGTGGAAGGAAGTTTCCCAAGGACCATATGGGAAAACTTCTCCTTCCTTCTAAAAGGGGAAGGCAACAAGAGATTTTCCTCTTTTTCATGTCTTGAATATAAAAATGATTCTTGGAACTGCAACAGTTATCTTGTGACCATAAGGTAACAAGCATCAAGACAAGAAAATCCAACACTAGGAAGAATGGCAACACACACACAAAAAGAAACAAAACGAGCCTACATCTTTGATGACATCACTGGGCAACCAGACTATATAGGTCACCTAGATGTCAAAGCTTCTTGTTAATTACATAATAAATATCTTATGATTTAAGTCTGTGATAATTTGATTTTTCTCTTACTTGTAGCCAAGAGCATGCCTAAGCAATATAATGCTAAACTTAATCCCTTCTTGATCTTTCTCAGTTGTTTTCATACATAAACCAGTTAAATAAATCCTTCCTGGGAATTCCCTGGCGGTCCGGTAGTTAGGACTCCGTGCTTTCACTGCTGTGGCCCGGGTTCAATCCCTAGCTGGGGAACTAAGATCCCACAATCCGCACAGTGTGGCCAAAATAAATAAATTAATTAAAATTAAAAGATAAATCCTTCCTGTTCTACCCTACGGCTGCATCTCAATTAGGAGTGGGAAGTCAGCCCTGTTCTGGGAAGATCCCACATGCCACGGAGCAACGAAGCCCGTGTGCCACAACTACTGAGCCTGAGCTCTAAAGCCTGTGAGCCACAACTACTGAGCCCACATGCCACAACTACTGAGCCCACGTGCCACAACGACTGAGCCCACGTGCTGCAACTACTGCAGCCTGGGTGCCCGGCGCTCACACTCCGCAACAAGAGATACCACCGCAATGAGAAGACCGCGCACCACAACGAAGACCCAACGCAGCCGAAATATAAATTAACTAATTAATTTTTTTAAAAAAGAATGCACTTTAAAAAAAAAGAGAATCTAAAGTACGATTTAAATGCATATGACAGGCAGCATTTAATTAAAACATGAATTATTTTCCTCGGACTTCAGTGGAGGTTTCTATTAATAAGTATCTGAGAGAACTTATCTGATGACTTAAATGTCACATTAGCATTTTATGAAATCCAGAGAAAAACAAGAATGTAGATCAGCATATGTTGTGAGCTCTATGCCAAAAAGTGCAATCTGCCAACCATCCCCTTCACTTTCCTATCTTCCTGGCTGCAACTGGGTGACCTGGTGACCCCACAGGGCTGCCCCCAGCCACGTGATGCTGGGCCTGCAGAATCATGACTCAGGAATATTTTTGAACATTGCACAGTTAAGGTCCAGGAGGAAAACATTACCATATTTCTTCCTCCCAAAGCACTTGTCCATCGTCCACTCTGATAGAGACCTCCTGTTGCCGAGGAAGACCCCGTTAAAGAAACACTGCTTTCCAACATGGTAGGTGTGGATGTTGCTGCTAAGCCTTGGGTAAAATGTCCACTCAGGACGCTGCCCATCTTCTGCAAGACATCAGAAATCCTTCCATCAGCACTGCTCCCAGCGTCACAATGTAGTTGGATGACAAAACACTGTGAACCGCCCCCCAGGCACTATCTGGCTATACAGCCTTTATTAACGTGTATAATTCCTTCGTTCTACATCGAGGGCAGTGTCAGACTCTGTGGAACTAGGCACAAAAGGCAGGGAAGTAGGAAGAAAGCTATCTAAGAGGGCTCTCTTTTTTTCCCTTTTTACCCTACCCTTCAAAAATAAAGCCAGTTTTATGGTTGGAAGTGATGTATGGGTTAGGAAGCTCAGAGACAGTTTTACAACCACCTACAATCCAACCTTTTTCTAATAAGTGTGTAGGAAGAACAGAATGCCCATCAACCAGGGAAGGGCTGGAACACCCATGGCATCTTAACCAGATGATACATGGTGTTGGCAGCAACAGTGGCACATGCATGCACTACAGTGACACAGGGAAATGTGTACATACGATCATGACCAAGGAGAAAGGCTGCTGTGAGACCTTAGGCTTGTTACTGGACCTCTCAGTGTCTCTGTTTCCTCATTTGACCCTTTTCCTGTAAAATGGCTAAAGTGATTTTAAACAATAAAAGATCTCCTGACAGCTCTAAGGTTGCTTAAGAAACTCTTGTGCTCTTTGGTGGCCGAGAAGGAACACAGGCTTTGAAGGCAAGCAAGTTTGGGTTCTAATCCCATCCCTTCATTTCCTAGGTTCGTGTACTTGTATGGGTGACTGAATCTCTCCAAGCCCCAGTTTCCTTCTGTGTAAAATGGGTAGGTCTGTATTAGCCACATAGGTCTATATGTTTTTTGGTTTTTGTGGGTTTTTTTGCGGTATGCAGGCCTCTCACTGTTGTGGCCTCTCCCGTTGCGGAGCACAGGCTCCGGACGCGCAGGCTCAGCGGCCATGGCTCACGGGCCCAGCCGCTCCGCAGCACGTGGGATCTTCCCGGACCGGGGCACGAACCCGTGTCCCCTGCATCGGCAGGCAGACTCTCAACCACTGCGCCACTAGGGAAGCCCCGGTCTATATGTATTGACAAAGAAAGAGGTCCATGATCTATTTACTTTGAGTGAAAATAATTTGTGTACTATTTTCTACTAGTGAAAATAATTTGTGTATTATTTTCTACTAGTGAAAATATGGTGGTATATTACAAGCAATAAACATATATATACAAACATACATATATATATAAACGTATACATACATATATACATTTCAAAATTCTCAAAGAATATATATCAAACTCTTCACAGCTATGGGGCAGAATGGGAAGATTATTGGAGAATATTGGGGTATGGGTTTTTATACTCTACATACTTATTTATTGTTTTAGTATTTTGCTATAGTACTTTTATGGTTTTTACATAAAAGCATTTTATTTTTGCAAAACACATAAAAATAGTTGCCCAGCAGAGTTGTTGTGAGAATTAGAGATGAAGTGTGTTGAATGCCTGGCACCTAATGGGCCTTCAGTGAATGGCACCCAACAGTATGGCAGCCTTCTGCAAAGAACCTGGGAGTGGAGGAGGACCTATGACTTACTCACTTGTCTGCAACTTAAGCAGGCTGAATTCCTGGGGATATTTATCCTCTCGGGCTTCAGGCAGTGAGGTTTCAGAGGAGTGATCAGAATGTGAGGAGGAGGATTTCAGATCCAAATCTGCAGCAGGGCTGGAAAGGAAGCAGAAGAATTAGATTCTTCAATGTGCTTAAATTGGAAATTAGAAGCTGATCTTACACTAGAATTCCTCTCATGTATGAGAACTAAGACTACTCCTTGATAAAAGTCCATGAGCATATAATTTATATATTCACAGTTTGAGGGGACTGAAATATATTCAAAAGGTGCATGCTTAAACATTTTAGTGTCCAAAAGTTGAATACAGAATTATCGGGGAACTTCCGTGGTGGTCCAGTGGTTAAAAATCCACCTCCCAATGCAGAGGACGTGGGTTCAATCCCTGATGAGGGAACTAAGATCCCACATGCTGTGGGGCAACTAAGCCCGCGCAACGCAACTAGAGAAGCGCATGCGCCACAACAAAGAGCCCATGCGCTGCAACGAAAAAAAAGATCCTGTATGCTGCAACAAAGATCCCACATGCTGCAATTAAGACCCAATGCAGCCAAATAAATAAATATTTTTAAAAAATTATCATATAATCCAGCAATTGCACTCCTGGCATATACCCAAAAGAACTGAAAACAGACCCTCAAACAGATACTTATACAAGAATGTCCATTGCACCATTACTCATAATAGCCAAAAGGTGGAAATAACCCAAATGTCCATTGATAGATGAATGGATAAATAAAATGTAGCATATACATGCAATGGAATATTATTCAGACATAAAAAGGAATGAAGTTCTGATATATTCTACAACGTGGAAGAATCTTGAAATCATTATGCTAAGTGAAATAAGCCAAACACAAAAGGACAAATATTGTATTATTCCACTTATATGAAATATCTAGAATAGGTAAATTCATAGAGACAGAAAGTAGATTAGATTAGATTAGAGTACCAGGAAATGGGGAGAGGGGAGAATGGAGAATCATTGCTTAATGGGCACAGAGTTTTCTGTTTGGGGTGATGAAAATGTTTTGAAAATAGTTAGTAGTGATAGTTGCACAACAGTGTGAGTATAACTTAATGCCACTGAATTGTACACTTAAAGTGGATAAAGTGGCAAACGTCCTGTTACATAATTTTTACCACAATTTTTAAAAAAATGAATGATGCAAATTCCCTGGCAGTCCAGTGGTTCGAACTCTGTGCTCTCACTGCCGAGGGCCCGGGTTCGATCTCTGGTCAGGGAACTAAGATCCCACAAGCCATGCAGTGTGGCCAAATAAATAAATATAAAAATAAAAATTAAAAATGCGTGATATACTGATACATGTTACAACATGAATGAACCTTGAAAACATTAGGCTGAGTAAAAGAAGCCAGACACCAAAGACCAGATACCGGTGATTCCATTTATATGAAACATCCAGAACAGGTAAATCCATAGAGATAAAATATAGATTAGTGGTTTCCAGGGCTGGGGGGATAGGGGACATGGGGGTGACTGCTAAAGGGTACAGGATTCTTTTGGGGGGGTGACAAAAATGTCCTAAAATTGACTGTGGTAATGATTGCACAACTCTGTGAATACACTAAAAACCATTGACTTGTACACTTTAAACTGGTAAATTATATGGTATGTGAATTATGCTTCAAATAAAACTGTTACCAAAAAAGATGCGTTTTCAATTAAACCATTGACTGGAAAGAAAAAATCAGTCAGTATAAAGAGAAGAGGCAGAAATAATCAAAAACAAACCTAGACTGAAATGGCTGTAATAACAGAGCATTATGTTTAGTGCCTAACTTCTTGGCAGTTAAAAAGGCCTACAGCAAACAATTGTGAGTGTCAACAGAAAAAGCAATCACTTCTGATCTAAGTGGCCTTGCATTTGATAGATGGCCTTGGACAATGCTTTCAGATGTAGTTAACTGTTATCAAGTCATAGGATCTTTTTTCATAATATTACATCACCCTGATATTTGAATCGTTTCAAACCAACTTCATACTGATAGTCTTGTTTGCTCCCTACAAACATCCTGTGATATAGCTGGGGCCAATAGAATCATTTCCATTTGCAAGGGAAATGGGCCCTCAAGGCAGCTAACGATAAAACACACCCCAGACAGAGGCAGAGCTGGATCTCCAGTTTAAGTCTAGACTATGTCGCCTAAAAGTCATAAAGAACCCGAGTTCCATAACTCACAAGTCTTGTATAGCTCGATCTCTACTTTGGGTTTTTTTTTCATCTATTTTATTATTATCATTATTATTTTTAATTTATTTTTGGCTGCGTTGGGTCTTCGTTGCTGCACACGGGCTTTCTCTAGTTGCGGCGAGCGGGGGCTACTCTTCGTTGCGGTGCGCGGGCTTCTCATTGCGGTAGCTTCTCTTGTTGCGAAGCACGGGCTCTAGGCACACCGGCTTCAGTAGTTGTGGCGCGTGGGCTCAGTAGTTGCAGCTTGCCGGCTCTGGAGCGCAGGCTCAGTAGTTGTGGCACACGGGCTTAGCTGCTCCGCGGCATGTGGGATCTTTCTGAACCAGGACTCGAACCCGTGTCTCCTGCATTGGCAGGCGCATTCTTTTTTTTTTAACATCTTTATTAGAGTATAATTGCTTTACAACGGTGTGTTAGTTTCTGCTATATAACAAAGTGAATCAGTTATACATATACATATATCCCCATATCTCTTCCCTCTTGCGTCTCCCTCCCACCCTCCCTATCCCACCCCTCTAGGTGGTCACAAAGCCCAGAGCTGATCTCCCTGTGCTATGCGGGGCTGCTTTCCACTAGCTATCTATTTTACATTTGGTAGTATATATAAGTCCATGCAGGCGGATTCTTAACCACTGCGCCACCAGGGAAGTCCTCGATCTCTAGTTTTTAATAAACATATCTACACTAATAACTTTGAACTTTTGAAGTGTGCAGATAGAGCAAAAATGCAACAACTCAGAGTCCCCCTCCCAGTTCAAAACGTATGATAATTTTGACACTGGCATGAAATATGTCTCTTCTAAATATTTTTTATATATCTGTGTTTGCCAAACAAACTGTGTAGAAAAGATTGCAAGGATAAAGGAAACTTTCTGAAAGAACTTTAGAAATATCCACCTACTTTGTTTTACTCAACAAACATTTATCTGAGTACATTTTGTGGCAGGCATTGCTCTAGACACTGGGGATCCAAAGAGTCCCTGCTCTCGGGAGCTTAGGCTCAAGGGGAAGAGGACATGGACAGACAAACAGATGATTGTGGAAGAGTGGGTAAATGCAGAGTTGGAGAAAGCAGGTTTTGCAAAAAAGTAGTATAATATGATATTAATTGTGAAAAATAAATACATATTTCTATGCATAAGAAAGAAATCAATTTTTTCTCATGCATATAAAAACATAAAATGTTAACACTGATTCTCTAAGAGATAAGATTATTGTGACTGTTATTTTTAATACTGTTTTTTATATTTTCAAAATTTCTACAACGAACTTAAATTACTTTCTTTATAACAAAAATTGTTAGAAAAAGGTTTTCAAAACATTTGACCATAAAAGAAATATAAACAAAGTACAGAATACTTTTTTTCTAAATACAGTTTTACAAATAATTTTAAGACCAACATCCACGAGAAGAAATAAAGCATGGCCAGCCCTTTCCTCCCACTCCCCAAAAACCATCTGTGTGTCCCCTTCCCAGAGAGGTAACCACTATCCTGACTCTGACTGTCATGGTAATCATTTCTTTGATTTTCTTTAAGACTTACCACCTGTGTATGTATGTATGTATGTATGTATGTATTCCCAAAAAATATGTAGTTTAATTTCACCTTCATAATAGCCAGCACTTGCACAGCCTGTATTGTATGCCAGGGAGTCTTCTAATCTCTTTACAGTATATGTATTACCTCATTTAATCCTCACAACTGTGACGTATCACCCCCATTTTGCAGATAAGAAAGCCTCACCAAGGAGATGAATTAATTTGCCCAAATTCACTCAGATGCCAAGTGACAGAGTAAGATTTGAATCCAGTCTGGCTCCAGAATCCATGCTCTTGCCAAATATGTCACACTACCCCTCAGACTGTTGGCCCCCTGGTCAGAATTGACCCCAACGTTTACAGCTCTTCCCTGGACTTCCCTTACTTACTCTGGGTGAGCAGACCCTCTGCCGGGGCTGAAAGGCCCACTGACGCTTATATCTGTTTCAATAGAAGATGAGGGGCTGACACTTCCGCCAGAGGACATTATGTTGGCAAAGCATCCCTTAGATTCCAGAAAATCATTGAGTTTAGTACCTGCAACACATAGATATCACCATTTGATTACATTCATGAAAATACCTCCCACTTTATCTTGTTTCCTAGATGATAAATAATTTCTTTTAAAAAAATAACAGTTGTGGGAGTTCCCTGGCAGTCCAGTGGTTAGGACTCAGCACTTTTACCACCATGGCCCAGGGTCAATCCCTGGTCAGGGAACTAAGATCCCACAGGCTGCATGGTGTAGCCAAAAAAAAAAAAAAGCTTGAGCATTTATTGTATACTTGAGATTGTGTTAACATCTTCACACATTATCTCATTTAATTCTCATAACAACGCACAGACAGAAGTATTACTTATCCTTCTATTTTACAGATGAGAAAACTGAGGCTCAGAATGTTGAGCAACCAAGACCACACAGAAAATAAACATGTTGGCCCAGGTTGGATCACAGCTCCTGTAACACTGAAGTCTAAAAATGCTAACTTCTGTGTTAGATTGCTTGCCCCCCGGCCACATAGCTCACCTACTCTAACTAAACTAAGTAGAAGAAAGAAGGTCTGAATTGAGCTATATATCACTGTACATTGTATTGAGCATCTCAAGAAAATTCCCCAAAGGATTTATTCATAGAAAGACTAGCGAGTATAGCTGGTGATCACAATCCAAAGAACTGTCTTCAGAACTTCTATGGGTTCCCCTCCCACTGCAGTGTCATCATTCTTTTATATCACATCTTCCCCACCAGACTGTGTCTTATTCATCTTAGTAGCACTCAGAGCAGTGCTTGGCACAAATAGATATTCAATAAATGTTTGAGTGAATAAATGACAAAGCATTATAACTCCCCAACCACCCACGATTACAAGTCCTGAAACCCAAGGACAGTCAGATAGAGAAGCACACCCACTGTCTTCATTCTGCTGTACAATGACTCCTAGGCGAAAGTCAATCTGTTCTCTCATCATTTTATATAGGTGTGTGCGTTGTCCAGTCACTTAAAAAAAAATCAGATGACTGGATATTGTAGTCCTTTATGCACACCTTCAGAGAGCACAGATGCTCCATAGATAAAATGTAAGCTCTCGGTTATAGGAGAATTTTAAGAAACAAGAGTCGGACTTCTCTGACTCTGGAGTACATTTTTAGACTGACTGCTGTTCCACCTACACAGTATCATGACTCACATGTATGTGGCATATGCCAGGCACCTGGGCAAATTCCCACCATCTGTCAGAGGAATTGACCCCTAGCCAATTCTTTGTTCATTTCCTATCAACGCCCTCTCAAATTCATCTATCAAGTGAATCATATTTTTTCCACCTTTGTCAAGTCCCAACCCTACCACCAAACCCTTTCCTCTTAAGAGGACTTTGCCTGTGACTCTACAAAGTTTAAAGGCCAGCTAAGCTACCTCCTCCCCTCACAGTAATACCCCCATCCTGGGGTTTCTCAGGGTAAGGGCTGTTGCATACAGAGTTAACA